CTCATACATGGTTGGCAGAATATCTACTGCTTACAAACACCTGTGTGCCCCCTAATTTCCCAGCCCCCCACCCCCACTCCTTGCACTTGAGGAGCCACACAGCTACTCTGCCACATGTTCTTTCAGGGCTGGGGCATTGCAAGGTGAGACACTCCCACCTGGCTCCCTTTTACACTGCTGGGGCAACCCTGTTCTCCAAATGGCCCGAATCTCTGAATGACAGGGGGAGCAAAGTCCCCCGCCACCCCCGGCCAAGCGGCACAGGCAAGGAATACAGTTGTCGTGGTAAGCACTGCTCTCAGAGCTGCAGTTACAGGGTAAGGAGCCTATCGTGTCTCAGTGTGCATGTTTTCACAGGAACATGAAGTAGAGGAAACGCACCCAAGGAGCACCAGCCCCTGGCACATGGAGTGTGTGTGAGCCAGTTCCAGTGCCTCAAGAGGCTCACACACCTGCCCTCCAGGAGTTCTTCACGCACACTTCCTTCAGTTGGCAAAAGCTCCTGGATCCTTCCAGTACACTGCCTTCTGCCCAAGTCAGTTCAGGCTGGGTGTCTGCTGTTCGCAACAACAGCAGGAAAGAAAAGCTGACGAATACAAATGTCCTGCTTGTCTCTGGTCCTCCATAGCCTTAGATAACTTCTGAGGTTCGGAGCTCAGGAAATGAGTGCTGCATAAACAAAGAGATGAAGGATGGCATGGTGCCTGACAGTGGGGGTGGGAGAAGGGTCAGGACACCCAGGCAGCCTGGAGTAGGCCTGGGCTCAGAAACCAACTACAGAGCAGGTTCTAAGGAGCAGGGGTGAGGGGAAGGGGCCCGCTTGTGATGGATGTGCCCTAAATTTCCATCTCTTGGATGCTCTGCTCAGAACATATTCTAATTCCAGGAACAGATCATTGGATTGACACAGCATGGGCCACCTGCTGTGACAAATGGGAATACAGCCCCTGTATCTTTACTTCCCTTTTTTGGCAGGACCATGCACCCACTCCTGCCATGTGACTCTGCAGTGTGGGCCTCCCCACCCCCCAGGAGCAGGAGGCATCAACTTCCTGCCCCATGGACCATGGCCTTGGCCACATGACATGCTTTGGACGGGATGTGGGCAGACCCCACACAAGGCTTGGAGCAGAGGCCTTCAATGTCCTGTGTGGTTTGGCATGGCACCATGAGTTCTGCAAAGAGAAAGCCCCAGATCACTCATCTGCTGCAGCCTGGGTCCCAGAGAAATACCCTTGGAACTGACCTGCAGCCTGAAGCAGAGCCCTTCTAGTCAACCTGCCACCTGTAAGGAAGAAAAATATTTGGTGCTGTGAGTCACACAGATTCTGGGGGCTATTTGTTATGCAGCATTATCACAGTAGGAGCTAATACACCTGTCCATTCCTTGGCTAGGGGAGGGAAGGGTATCTCAACGAGCTGTCCCCCCACCCAGACTGAATCTGTGGAAGTAGGCTAAGTACCCAAAATACAGTGAGGTGTTATTACCAGAAGGAGGGGGGATAGATACCAAGAAGGTTGAAACCAAAAACATCTCTCACTGTAGTGGAGCAGACAGCCCACTAGCCAGCACTTGTTTTCTGGCTGCCACCCTACAAACAAAAAGTATGTTTGAACCCCTAAGGAGCAGCTGGCTCTGCTGATTTATAGGGCCTGAATAGGATCTGTGAGAGCAAATTTAATTTTGAATACAATTTCATGTCAGTTAACTTTGCTCAGAGCCTCACAGAAGAGCAGTGACTCTAAAATAAAGCCAAATGGCGAAGATTGATGGGGCTGACAGGCATCCTGGAAGCAACTAATTGCTGACAATGCCTCTCAGGGCTCTGCTGGGGAGGGCACTCTGCTGTGTATAGTGACCAGGTAAAAGCCTGGCTCTGCAGGTGGTGACCAGGTTAGGGCTTGGCTCTGGGGGGTGGGACCATGTGAAGGCTGGGCCTCGGCCCACAGTGATGCACCAGCACTTCCCGGGCAGGCCTGGGCTTTGGAGAGACTTCTCTGGCAGTGTCAGTGGGGAGGGACCCCCTTCTCCCCTTGTTGGACTGGGAAGGACAAGGCAGCAGGAGAATCAGGACTGGCAGCAGGCCCAGAGAGCTGAACCCAGGGGCCTGGAAGGGAGCAAGTTAGGGGTGCCCAGAACTGAAGACAGAGGGAAGACATCAAGGTCATTAGGAGCCAGGCCCAAGAGTGAGGATGGCATGGCAGGGGGCAGGAGCAATGGTGCGAGAGCCTGGTCTCAAGAACGTTGGTGGCTGCACTTGAACATGAGCTGGCAATCATCTCCTAGCTCTTCTGTGTGCTGAGCACTGCTGGGGCATGTAAGAGCCTTGTGTGGCCAGCAGCCACAGGACCGGGCAGTACAGACCCAGAGTGTTCCCCTCACCACTGTTGGTCTGGAGGCTGCTACTTGGCCACTGCTGACATCCATGCTCCAAAGCCCCCCACACCTCTCCAGGAGGAAGGGACAAATGTGTGTGCAAGCAAAGAATTCAAAATGGGAACAGCCTGCTGCCCATGGGACTACGGTGTCAGCTCCGCAGGCTCTCGCAAACCTTGAGAGTAAGTTCAGAGCCCTGGTGGGGGATTCAGCCTTTTTTTACGATGTCTGTGGTGAAGAAAAAATGAGTATGACCCAGAGCAGGCTGCTCTCCCCAACCACCCTACCCAGGCTCTCTGAAGAGAGGAGGTTCACTGAGCCCAGAATCCTGACGATATGGCAACTAGCCCCCAAGGCACTGGCCAGATCACCTGGCAATGAATCAAAGGAGAGAAAACACCTGGGGACCATCCCCAAGGAGAAATAAGGAAATTCGAAAAGAGCCCAGGGAGGAGGGTATGCTTCACTCAGAATGCACATCCTGGAGTCTTCCAGACGAGGTGAACAAAAACTCAGTCGTTTCTACATCTAAAAACTTTAACACCAGAACTTGGACCCTCCAAAGCATGGCTCTAGGAGGGTGGGAAAGGGCGACCAGCAGGCCTGGGTGTGCAGTTCGCCAGGGGCAGAGGGGTTCACGGTGTGGGGGTGTCTCCATGGCCTCCAGAGCAGGGGAACCTGGAGGCTGCTCTGGGAAGGGGCTCATGAGCCCCCAGTGTTGTATCCAAATGAAATCCTGAAATGTTATCCTGGGACCAACCCCCAACCCCCAGATTCTTCTGGCCTCTGTCTTCAGAGGGTAATTAGGGTGTCAGGGATGCAGAAATTCTTTTCTGTGTTCCTAATAAGGCTCTTAAAAATCAAAAGGGATGATGCTGAAGGAGTCAGAGTTTTCATAGTAAAACCTGGAATGGGAAGAGGGAGTGATGCTGCCTCCACCCTGGGGAGGCTTGGAGAGAGTTGGAGAAGGGCCGTGTGGCCCGGAGGTGGGCAGCACTAAGGGCCTGAGCATCCCACCTTGTATCCAGAAGTTTGTGGAGCTTCTTTCCCAATTGCCAAGCTCCTGTGACACCCAGACTACCCTTCTCCCTACCCTGCACACATGGGTGGGATGGGTGTCCTGGGCCCTCCAAGGGGCAGGATGATGGGATATGAACTGAAAGTCCCAGTCCCTAATGGGGGTGGGCAGTGGGGTGAGTTTAGCGTTGCCTCACAAGGAGGCACTTTGCTGGCCTTACCTACTGCACTCTGGCCACAATTCAACCCTCCAGCAAGTCCTCCTCTGCCCCAGAGCTTTTGCAGGACCTGCTCTCTACAGGAAACATGTTCTCCTCTTCCCTGCCTGAATGGCCAGCTCCTCATCTCATGTGTCTCAGCTCAAATCGTCACTCTTCAGAGAAGCATCTGGGACCACCCAATGCCCATGTTCTATGCCACCTCCCCATTCAGCTTTCTGTGTGCTGTCACTTGACATTGATGTCATCTGTCTGTGTTCATGATCTCGCCCACTGACCCATTGATGGCTGCATCAGTGCCCAGTTGAGGGCACATTTGGTGAGTGTGTGTTGAATGGATCAATGGCCTCAGGATTGAGGAAGACAAGAGTCCCTTCCCCACCCGGAGTATCTCATTAACTCAGAGTTTCCTACTGGTAAAACAGGACGTCCACCTTATGTCTAGCTTCCAACTCTCCAGCTACACCTTCTCCAGGTGCCTGCCCCACTGCAGCCCAAAGTACTGTTTCAATGCAAACCAGGCAGCCCCAGGGCCTTGGTCCCCACAGGGTGAACTCTGGGTCCCGCTGGCTCTGGTCTGGGGAAAGCTGCCTTACTGTAAAACCTGGGGAGCCGCACAAAGAGAAGGAAAGGGAAAGGGGGACACACTGCGTATGTAATGTCCCCCGCCCCCAGACGACCTGAGGTACAGGAACTGCCTAAGCAGGGGGCAGCGGAGAGCACAGGGTCCAGCCTGTGGGGACAGGGGCAGCGGCACACGGAGACAGACCGGAGTGAGGTGCAGGGGGAAGGCCTTTACGAGTCCCTTTCTGGGAGAGGGTCAGTTCCCCACCACCACCACACGCGCGCGCGCGGGCAGGACTTCTCCAGACTGAGAAAACAGGCCAAGTATGACCCCACCCTCCACCCGGGTATCAGTAGTGGGAGGAGGACTTCCCACCTTCACACCCGCCTCCACCCGCGGTGTGTGTGTCCCCTACGCCCACGTGTCTGGCATGGCTGGGGAGGCCCCCACTTTTCTGTTCACGTGCTCCAGTTCAGAGATTCTTCCGGAATGAGGCCGCGGTTGGGGAGGTGCAGAGACACCCCACCCCCAGTTCGCGCGCCAGAGAGAAGGCGACACTCCCGCCCCAACGCCTCCCGCAACCAGGGGCGCGGGACTGCGTGCGGCTTCCCCGGAGTGGAGGAGGGGACGGGAAGAGGCCGGGAGGGGAGAGGGGACACTGGTGGCGAAGAAGGAGTGCAGCCGGGGCGGGGCCTGGGGGGGGCGGGTTCTTTGAGGGCGGAGCCCGGAGGGCAGGTTGTTGGGCGGGGCGGGGCTCGCGTCGGGCTCCGCTGAAGCGTCCACTTCCTCTGGAGCTGGCGGCCGGGAGGAAGTACGTCAGTTGTTATCCGCTTGGGGTGCCGCCGCCGCCGCCGCCGCCGCCTCACGAGCCCCGGCGCCTCAGCCGCGGACTCACCCCGCCCGCCGCCTGCCGCTCGCAGCGCATGGGGCGCGCCCCCGGAGCCGCGGCCGGGGGCCGCTGAGCGCCGGCCGCCCTGCCGATGCACGCTGCCGCCCGCGCCGGGGCGCCCAGGCCGCTCGGGGCCCGGGGCTGAGGCCCCCCGCGCGGCATGCCTGGCCCGGACCGCCGCCCGCCGCCGCTCAGGGCCCGAGCCCGCGCGGCCCGTACCGAGCCCGGCGGCGCCGCATAGCGTGCGGCAGCGGCAGGGGAGGCGGTAGCCGACGGCGCGGCCGCAAGGTCACCCGGCCATGGAGGCCAAGGTCCGCCAGAGCCGGCGCTCGCGCGCGCAGCGGGACCGCGGCCGGCGCCGGGAGGCGGCCCGTGACGCCCGCGACCAGAGCGCTTCTTCGGGCGATGAGCCCGAGCCCGGTCCCGGCAAGGAGAACGCCTGCCTGCCCCGCCCGCCCCAGTCCCGCGCCGCCGCCGCGCGCCCCCCGCGCCGCCGCCGCCGCGAGTCCAGCTCGCAGGAGGAGGAAGTCATCGATGGCTTCGCCATCGCCAGTTTCAGCACGCTGGAGGCCCTGGAGGTAGGCGGGCAGCGTGCGGGGGCTCTCGAACTGCTGGGGAGAAATTTGTTACCCTGTCTGACCCGAGGGCTGGCACGCTGGACAATCGGTCTTTTTTCAGTTGTGTTTTTGTTGCCAATATATCACTTCATTGGCCTTGGGTTGTGCTAGGGAGGTGAGCACTGCCGGACTCGGTGGAGAGGATGATAAAACGGATACTTTGGGGTTCTTCCTGTTCCTCCCCTCCCGCCTGAGGTTTCTGTTTAGATGGGGAGAGGGAGCCTCCTGTCTTAAGACCCCTCTAGGGACCGTTGCTTTCTGTGTGGTTAATAGGAGGGCAAAAAATGCTGTTCACGTTATCAGGGGCAGGTGAGTGGAGAAGGAAATAAATAGTGCCGGAGTTGGCGTGGTTGCCACTGTCTCTTAAGGCCTGGGTAGAATTGCTGGCCAGGCCCCAAAGTTCTGCAAGCCTCAGCGGCTCCTCCACTCTCCAGGGACCCCATGCAGCATTTATTTTGGGGACCTGGCATCTGTTGGGTTTGGGGTCCCAAGATCACTCAGTTAATAGTACGCCATCCTTTTCTTGGGGCTTGGGGACTAGTGGCCCAATATTGCCCAGCCTCAGAAGTTGAGCTATGGGAAGAGAAAGTGCCATCCCTGCAGGCCCCTGCAGTGAGTCCTCTCCCTGGGGGTGGGGTCCACTGGGTCTATGGAGAGCCTCAGGGTCAGTGCTGGTGGCCCAGGGACAGGTGGATGCACATAGGAGGGGCACCTGTGTCAGAACTTGTGCTAACCACTTAGCCCTGGGGTCCTCTGTCATGCACACCTGGGAGACCTGAAATGGCTCTTGGCCTGAGGGTTCCTTAACTAAGACATTTTTGGGGAGGAGGGTGGCACACGCCATGGTCTGTCCTAGGGAAGTGCAGCCCCAGGACCAAGTTTTATGCCTTCATACAGCTATGTCCTGCCCCTAGTTTCTGAGGGTGGTTACACCACCCACTTCCATATGTATAACCGCCCTGCTAGGGCGGGGGAAGCAGAACCCTGACTTCTCCAAGAGCCTGTCAGGTTCCCTGTCAATTGACCTCTCCCACCTAACATCCTCACACCAGGATTCAGCCCCTTTGCGTTCTGCTGCCTCAGGACCTCCGTACTTGCTCTGGGTTGTTGTTTGGCACCTTCATCTCAACACCATTTGAAGAGCCGTCCCTTCTTCCCCACAGCTGTCCATCTCCCAGTGTTATTTCACATACATTGCTTCCTGTCAGTTACTGCTCTCTTTCTGAAGCTGTCTTGTGATTTACTCCATCTGCCTTGGCATTCTCCCCTTCAAAACATGAGCTGGAAGAGATCCCATATCTGTCTTGTGTGGGGTCTGCAGGGTCCCAGTGCCTCAAACCCATTCATGGACAGAACCAGTGAGCAGAGAAACCACGGTTTGGGAATGCTGTGCCAGAGTGAAGTGGTCTACCGCCACCCTGACTGTACCTCTCCTGCATCAGGGGCACTAAAGCACAGCCTTGGGTTTGGGGGACTTATGCAGCCTCAGACCAGCCCCAGCCGGGTCATAGGGAGAATGAGCCTGCTTTCTGTGTAGCATTCACACAGCCACGTCACCCCAGGGCCACTCCATGCATTTCTCTGCCTTTCTGAGCCAGGGAAGGGTCTGTCTGCCTTGGAAAGTACAGGGCTTCTGGACAAGTCATAACTTCTGGATTGGCCCTCTTAGCCTCATTCTTGCAGAAGTGTAGTGGTTTTCCTCCCAGAGTTCAGGTAATTGATAATCACATTGATCGCAACAGCTGTTGTGTATTGAACGTGTAGTTTCCCAAGCACTGTTCTGAGCCTGCTTGTCCCTGTTGCACAGTTAGGGACACTGAGGCCCAGTGCCATGAGTGTCAAGGCCATACTCCTCCCAGTCTCAGAGCTCTGCTACACCCTCAGGAGTCCATCTTGGCCTCCATGTCAGACACGAGCTGCCACCCCTGGAACTTAAATAACTAAACATCAGGTTTAGACCAGCTCAAGAGGTGGGACCTTCGCAGAGAGCAGTGCTAGTGTCCTGAGAGTCCTCCTTACCTTTGTGCTGAGGATGTAGCCTCCCTCCCAACCTCCCTGCATCCCAGGCAGGCCCCCTACTCTTCTGTGTCCTGGGCAGACCCTCCCCACCACATGCCCTGTGTCTTCCCCCAAAGGACACCCAGTCCCTGCCTCCTGGGTGGCTTCAAAGAGATCATAGGCCACTTCTCTTAAGTGTGGTGGACACAGTAGGTGCTCTGTAATGTGTCTGCGGTGGTGTTGGCTGATGAGGAGGCACTCATGTCTGGCCTAGCTCAGGGTGTGTCTTCCGCCCTGGGGATGGAGGTGTCTCCATCTGAGTCCTGGGTTGAATAGCCAGAGCCTGGTGTCTGAACTGAGGCTGTGCAGAGGCCACGGGATCAGCAAGGGTCACACATGGGAGCCCTGGTACCCCATCAGATTTCTGATTCTCCATTTAACAGGTTGGGGGCAGTGACCAAGTGTCTGTGGGACAGTTGTCTTGTGGTTCAGGAGTGACAGTGGTTGCCTTACCTCTATTCTCACTGACTGGGAACATTTGGGTTAGACAGCCATCACTTGCTGTCCCTCTAGTTCCTGTGACATCTCTGCCCCTTGGTGTGTTGACCAGAGGTTGAGGGGAAGCCCTTGGGGGCAGGGCTGGGGCAGTGCCACAGCTTTCTGCCCCAGATACTCCTGACCCCTCCTCCCTGTGGCAGAGGCTACCCTAGGGCTGAAGGCATGTGGTCCCAGCCCCTTGGTCTCCTGGGAGATCCACCTTGCAGGCAGAGCCAGAGCGGAGCCCAGCAGACCCACTGTGTGCCTCCTAGTGCTTTCCATCAGGGTACCTGTGCCCCTGTGCACTGGCCCTTCTCTCTTCCATGCTCTGTGCAGTGCCTGACTCAAAGGACCTCCTCTATGCTGCTAGCTCCAGTGAGAGCCATCCTTCTGGTTTGGTGTCCCTGTGATTCTTTGTTAACTCGCTTTCAAACAGCAGAACACTTCCAGCTGGAGTGTTGATTCAGAAATCAAGCTTTAAGAAAGGTATATCCTGAAAAAAGTTTCAGCTCCAACTACAGCCTTCTCCAGTGACTACTCTGGCCAACTCCTGGCCTCTCCAGGGCACCTTATACAAATATAACCACACAGATGTGCAGTCTTGTGCCTTTCCTTTCTTGCTAGAAGGAAGGCCTTATTCCCCACATATATGCAATCTGGGAGGTGTGTGCCTGGAAAAAAGGATGGAAAGGGAACACCCAGAATTCTAGCTGTGACATATGACAGGTGACTTCCTTTCTCCAGTTCTCCTGTTATCTACACTGATTAGAACATGTTACTTTGATAATCCACAAAAGGTACGCCTAAAACCACACATGACCTCCGTGCAGTCAGGCTTGAGAAACCATGCTCCGGCCTCCTGCAGCCACTCTAGCAGGTGAGTGCCTGTGGGCAGTCCAGCTCCCATCCTTTGGTTCTGTCCAGGGGTGCTGTGAATGTCTGCTGAAAAGACCTGAGCTCTTACCAGCCACAGACGGGCTCTGGCCAGGGACATGACTCTTGGCAAGTAGTGGAGGAAGCCTGACTCCTGACAGGCAGGGGCACCTGTTGCAGGTCTGGACATGGCCTGTGGGGTGGGGTTGTCTGTGTGGGGCTGTGTGGGAGGCAGTAGTGGTGGTCTCTCTGTGTGTGAGCCAGGTTTGCCATCCCCCAGGCGTGAGGGGCACACGACTTGTGCTGGCTGTGGGAGCTCAGGTCCAGGAGTATGGGGAGCAGGGATGTGGCTCCACTAGTACTTGTGCAGAAGCCCATGCTGTCAGTGCTGCCTGTGAGGGTGTGGTCTGGCCCATCCCTCCGACAAGGGGGGAGTCTGAGCACACAGACAACTGGGCTCAGTGAGGAGAGCTGGTGGCAGGAGAAGGTTTTAACTTGGAGAGTGTCTGAGCCCCCCTGTCAGAGCACCTCGTCCAGGCTTCCTCCCTCCCTTCAGTTGGGGAAACTGAGGGAGAGAGGGGGAAGGCTTTCCTGCAGTCACAGGAGGGGCATACAACAGGTCTGGGACCTAGGATGGCATCGACTTGATTCTGCTTCCCCCAGGGGGCCCACTGTGGGGAGCTGCTCCAAGAGCAGCCAGAGGGCAAAGTGTGTGTGTGTGTGTGTGTGTGTGTGTGTGTGTGTCTGGTGCACCGCCAGCCCACATGGGTGTCTACTGCCCCAGGGCAGCAGCACACAGGCTGGGAGAGGTCTGCTGCATCACCCGCTGTCTCTGCACATGCCTTGTGCGCTGTGGGGATGCAGGGCAAGGGCTCACACAGGGTAGCACAGAGAGGTCGAGGCAGCCATGGTTTGGATGGATGGTGACTCCGAATCTGCTGGCTGGCTCATTGTTCCTGCCTGCCCCAGGCACTCGTGAAGGTCTCAAGGCCCACGCAAGTGGGCAGGGGCTGTCTCTTGGCTCCCATCACCTAAGCCCACTCCCCTGCTCTCCATGGCTGGGGGTTATGTGCACACTACCACTGGCCTCCAGGCCTCAGTTTCTCTGTCTATCCACCCACACTGTGCCCCAGCATCTGCAAGGCCATGTGGGGCTGCTGACTTCTGCTCTCCTGCTGAGCATCTGAAGGGCACACTGGCCCAGGGAGCGTGCCAGGGGGGCAGAGCAGCATGCCCTGCAGCAGTCAAGCCTCACATTCCTGTGAGTTGGGTTTGCCCAGGAGGTGTGGCACAGGCCACAGGGGGCGTCCCCCATGGCAGGCCATATCCCATCTTCCATCTACCTCTTCTCTGAGTTTCTGGACAGTTTTGGGTCCACAGTGTGTGCATGTACATGCTGTGTGTGGTGGTGGGTCCATGTCCCAGGTACATGTAAGCTTGTGTGTGTGTGCATGTGTATGTGGTGGAGCCCTGCCTGGGTACGTGTGTAAACCCCCCTGCATGTCTGTGTGCTACAGGCCTGAGGGGGTCTCAGTCCCCCTCCTCTGTTTCTA